CAACCCATTCCACTATTCTTGCCTAGAAAAATCCCATGGACAGAGGAGCCTGGCAGGCTACAGTCCATGGGGTCATAAGAGTCAGACACGACTTAGCGACTAAACCACAATCACCACATTTCATTGCAGTGGGACACTCTTCTGAGTCCTTTGCTGCCTTCTGACTTTTTATGAGTCAGTTGGTTCTACAATGCAGATTCTCTCATATATTGTATGCTTCTAGAAATACTGCCCTGTGCTATTGCCTCATGCAAGGCAAGTACTTTTGGTGGTGACGATTTTTGGATGGTACTGATGGTGCCATCGGGGATACTATTTAAAGATAGATGACACCTTTGATGATAAAGTCATACTATACTGGGTTAATTTTGTCATAAACTATTTTATATGGATATTCATTTCTCAATCCTCCTATCTAGAATTTCAACCACTAAGAATTTCCAACACCTGCTGCTTCATATTCCTCTTCCCTTCCTTAGTTTTTTTCTCTTAAACACTATCACTAACATAGTAATATATTTTACTTCTGTTTATTGTCTGTATCCTTCACTAAAATATAAGTTCCATAAGGACACACAGTTTTGTCTATTTTGTTCACAACCCCATGCCCTGCACCTATTGAGCAGGAAATAAATATCAGTTAAAAAATTAACATTTATATTTCAGGACTTATGTTAGTTTGATGATTGTTGTGTAATGGCGTGGAAAATAATATTTGAGACTAATTTTTCAAGAGCACTTGGATCTGCTTGTACGTATTTTCCCTGGGCATGTATTACCCATAGGAGGCTATAGTCTATTAGAAGATTAAATCACTAGATGAGAACACATTCTCAGTATTCTGGAAGAAGATTGCATTTATATATTAACTTCTCCTCTTTCTCCTGATAATACCACTAGTTTTTAGGGTTGTCATGTTATGGAGGAATGAATCTGATTAGGGGCAGTAGTGGTATAGAAGTCAGCAGCACAGTCACTGGTCTCAGAATGCTGGGGTTCAATTTTCAACTATTCTACTTACTAGTTCTATACATATTAGAAGTCACTATTATTTTATGCCAAGAACTTTTATCCAGAGACTTCAAGTGTTTCTTCAATGCTCTGAAACTGTATTTAAACCTATGGTGTATAGGAGACTAGATGCTTCTTTCTTGGAAGATCTATCATTTTGATCAGATATTCAAAGTCTGTCAGTATTTACAATATTTTGGGCATCAAAGATCAAGTGATATTGTTATAAATAAATCCACTAAAGGATACACTTTTGGATTGACTTAAACATCTATAAACCAGTCAGAATAATAATATTTTGCAGACATTTAATACTTCTCAGTTTTTCATCCTCAAGTCTACATAGACCAGAGCTATAAGACAACTATATTTTTTAGTTCAGTTCAGTCACTCAGTCGTGTCTGACTCTTTGCGACCCCATGAACCACAGCATCCCAGGCCTTCCTATTCCATCACCAACTCCTGGAGTTTACCCAAATTCATGTCCATTGAGTCAGTGATGCCATCAAACCATCTCATCCTCTGTCGTCCCCTTTTCCTCCTGCCCTCAATCTTTCCCAGCATCAGGGTCTTTTCAAATGAGTCAGCTCTTCACATCAGGTGGCCAAAGTACTGGAGTTTCGGCTTCAACATCAGTCCTTCCAATGAACACCCAAGACTGATCTCCTTTAGGATGGACTGGTTGGTTCTCCTTGCAGTCCAAGGAACTCTCAAGAGTCTTCTCCAACACCACAGTTCAAAAGCATCAATTCTTCAGTGCTCAGCTTTCTTTATAGTCCAACTCTCACATCCATACATGACCGCTGGAAAAACCATAGCCTTGACTAGATGGACCTTTGTTAACAAAGTAATGTCTCTGCTTTTTAATATGCCATCTAGGTTGGTTATAACATTCCTTCCAAGGAGTAAGTGTCTTTTAATTTCATGGCTGTAGTCACCATTTGCAGTGATTTTGGAGCCCAAAAAAGAGAGTCAGCCACTGCTTCCACTGTTTGCCCATCTATTTGCCATGAAGTGAAGGGACGAGATGCCATGATCTTAATTTTCTGAGTGTTGAGCTTTAAGCCAACTTTTTCCACTCTCCTCTTTCAATTTCATCAAGAGGCTCTTTGGTTCTTCACTTTCTGCCATCTTTACTTCTATTATAGTCACCTTTTCACAGTTGATGTTAAGTAATTTGCCTACATATGGCCCCCACATGTGGTTCAATGGTAAAGAAACTGCCTGCAGTGCAGGAGACATGACTTTGACCCTGGGTCAGGAAGATCCCCTGGAGAAGGAAATGACAACTCCAGTATTCCTGTCTGGGAAATCCCATGGACAGAGGATCTGGTGGACTCCAATCCATGGGGTTGCAAAGGTTTAGACATGACTAAGTGACTACACAATAAAAATGTTCCTATACTAACATGACAGTGACAAGAAAACCTCATGTATAAAAAAAAAAAAAAAAAAACTATTGCATTTTACTGACAATAATGCCTATGTATTGCTTCTTTGAGAGTAAAAGTGTGTTCAGTTGCTTCAGTTGTGTCTGACTCTTTGCAGTCCCATGGATGGTAGTCTGCCAGGTTCCTCTGTCTGTGTAATTCTCCAGGCAAGAATTCTGGAGTGGGTGTCCATGCCCTTCTCCAGGGGATCTTCCTGACCCAGGGACTGAACCTGAGTCTCACGTCTCCTGCACTGGCAGATGGGTTCTTTACCACTACTGCCATCTGGAAAGGCCTATGAGAGTAAAAGCACCAGACCTTACTCATTTTTGCAGCCTCGGTATCTGTAAAGTGTAGCAGACGTACTACATGTTCCNACGTCTCCTGCACTGGCAGATGGGTTCTTTACCACTACTGCCATCTGGAAAGGCCTATGAGAGTAAAAGCACCAGACCTTACTCATTTTTGCAGCCTCGGTATCTGTAAAGTGTAGCAGACGTACTACATGTTCCATATATGTTTGCTGTATAATAACTAAGCTGGATATTAGACATAGATCTTCGGACTATGAATCCCTAACATATTCTCATTTCATTAAGTCATACATCTTTTTATGAAATTAATCTAAAGGAGGGTGTCATCCCTTTGCTAATATATTGTTCTAGCATTTTCTCTTAGTCAACATATTCCTCAGCCAGGGTACCAACTGTTAAATAAACACATATCCATGTCACTCAAAGAAAAGTAAAACACAAATCAAGAGGCTAATAAAGAGCAAAATACACACTTTGTTTCTGTTGATAATATACGGAAACTAAAGACAATGAATGTTTTACACATTCAAAGACCATTCGCTTATGAGTACTTCATTTCTTACAAAGAAGATGTATCATATTAATCCACTAAATTCTTTCCTAAGTAGATTCTTCCTTAGCACATCTTTCAATCAGTTAGGTGAAGAGCACCCATCCAGTCTGAGAGCTCTGTGATGAAGGTAAGGGGAGTCTACTGACAGAGAATCAAGCTTAACAGGTGAGCAGAAAGAAGGTGAGTAAGACTGTTAGAAAAGAAGGGGAAAAAAGATGAGTAACAGGATCACTAGATGTTACTAATGTTACTATGTTGATTTTTTTTCCTTATGAATTTCAACCACAGCATTCAAGGAATATTGGTTAATTAATGTGTAAATACTCTCTTCATTAAGTCTAAGGATATGAGAAAACTTTTTAATCTTTTAAATATACTTTCTTTCCTTCCTAACTCCCTTCCTTCCATCTTTTTTCTTCTTCCTTTTTTAACTGTTAGCTTTTATATTCTGTACTTTGAGAACTACACTGAGTAAAAATTGGGGTCTCCAAAAGTTCCAAAGACTATGCAAAGATGAATCACGTACTTGACAGGAAGAAGACATTCCTAAGTATGCTACTAAGTCTTGTGGGGCAAGTTCCATTGGACTATAAGTATATAAACAAAGATAGAAAGAATAAAATTATATTAACTAATGATCTTCTCAGACACGGGACTGTAAGGAAGATTTATAGGCAAAAAGTTGTATAACAAAGACATCCTAGTGCTTCTAAAATAATAAATATTGTCCAAGATCCATTAAATTTCACATTATATAAACTCAAAGTAATTCTTATTCTCAGATTTTGACATTTGCTTACACAATATCAAATATATTTACATTTGTAAACAATAAAGCTTACTTTCTAAATGAGAAATTAAAAGGCATAACTCTTGAACTTCATAGACAAATATATCTATAATAATTTTGTTGTACAAATAATGCAGCAAAACAACAGTGTTTCAAATAATATGTCAAATATAGAAAGGAGAAAACAACAGTATTACTAATTTAACTAATTTTTACATGATATTGAATGTGGTTTGAAGAAAAAAACAGTATGTTTTCCCTCATAATTTCTTAGTAAGAAGGAACATTTATGTGTTCATAGTTAAAATTTTCAAATGCAACATTAAAATTATTAACATACTTCCTAGTATCAGATATATGATGGACTAATACTTAATTTTTGTTTACATGGAAGGCCATTTAAAAAGTGCATTTGCATTATTACAACTCATTCATCAAACAATAATGTCTATGATTGTGAAAACAGTCATGCTTCTTGAATTATCCAGAATGCCTTTGAACACAGGTTAAAGGTATTGGAGAATAACCTCAAGCAGCACTTGTAAATACAGATATCATAGCACTTTCAAGTTTCAGTTCAAAAACACCAAGTGATTTTTAGGGTAAAACTTTATTTCAAAAATAAAGCCCTTCTTTATTTAAAAAAACTAAAAGCCCTAATATCTTTGAACTATGTATACAAGAATTATTTTGAAAATTTTTAAAATGCCTCTAATTTCCCATTTAATGGTAAATATTTCATGCAAAAAGACTCTAGCTTCTAAACAAGTATTAAAATGACCAACTGATCAGTAATTTGTATCACTTCACAAAAAAATATCTGACAGTAAATTACTGAGTCTACACATGCATGCTACAGCATAGTATGTTCAGAGTCAAAAAATAAAGTAAAATAAAATTACCCTAAAAGACATTTCAAGATTCTCTCCACCCCAGATATCCATTCCTGCATCGTAAGTTCCTATCTCTTCAAAGTAGTTTCTGTCAATAGAAAATAGGCCACCAGCCATAGTTGGGGTCCTAGTTGAAAAAAAACAAAAACAAAAGAATATCTTTTGAAAACAATGTGTGGAGTTTAATGAGACTATAGCAAATATTTCTGAAACATTTTAAATAAAAAGCAGTATACTTAAAAAATTCAAACTGGAAACATAAAGCCAAATTATAAGAGGTTTTAAATTAATAAATAGCATTTTATTTCACATTTTCTGTAAAACTAAACTTAGATTAGTCTATAGTCTTTTGTTTGGATGATCAAGTAGATATAAGGAACACTGGCCACTTAAGACAAGGGCATATACATCCTGTGTGAAAGGCATAGTGAAGAGAAATTTGTATTCTTATCACTATCCTTAAAGAGATGAACTAGTCATGAAACTACTAGCTGTGATCCTGTCACTTAATTATAAATTATTTTAATATGAACTCTAGAAACCTATGGAAATGGTTTCTCTATGAAAAGATCTACAATCTATTTGAATATGAAAAAATAAGTGCTGTGAAATATTTATAGGCAATTAAGTATCTAATAATAGTTACATAATAGTACCATAATAGTGCTACATCTAATTGTCTACAGCTAATTGTTTTACCTAATTGAAATGATAGAATGAATCATACAACCCTATAGATAAACAGAAATCCTGTATACTATTCATGGGTTTAGAAGACCATTTGGCATAGATCCAGAACTTTTTACTAGGATTAATGATTTTGGTTTTCACATTCAAACTTTCTCTGTAGAAACTAAGAAATCAGGTGTTAACTTTCACAAGGAATTGATTTTAAAAGATTAATTAAAATCAGTAGTTAGTATGTGACCTACACAAAGTTTTTCTGTAAAAGCAGTAAACATTGAAACTGAAAAAAGAAAGTTCTAGTTCACAAATGAATCTTTCTATACAAGCAATGATTATTTCTGAATAGAGATTTTCAAGCTTCACAGCACATTAGCAGCACCTGACACATCCTGAAAAAACTACACTTCAATGTTTGGGTACCATTCTCTTGGATTTAGATTTAATTGGCTGGGAATGGGGACCAGATCTTTGATATTGTGTAGAGGTCCTAGGTGATTCTACTGTGATGCTAAATTTACTAGATCGGAAACTCTGATCTAGTAACTTAGATTTAGAATGTTCATTCAGGTACATTTGACCCTTGAACAACATCCAGTGTTGGGTGAGTCCTCTGATGTGGAGGAACCTTGGATACCAAGGGCCTGGAAAAAGTATATTCAGATTAACCTCTGTGTTATTCAATGGTAGTCTGAGATTGTTAGAAAACTCAATGTTTTTTCTCAAAATTATGTCCTCTTCTGCCACAGGATATGCTCGTGTCCTCTAACTGAACAGTGTATTTCATTGAAAAACCTCCATACAATATTGTACCTGGATACCTACCATATCAGAGTTCTCTATTTCTCCCAGTGCTATCACTGTTTCACACTCAGGCAATTAACTGTCCATCAGTTGGAGCAGCAGAGCCGCACTTGATCTGAGCTGTTTTATTACTTCTAGTCTTGCTGGGTTCCTATTATGGACAGTATCATTGACCTACTGAGTTGTAATGAGAAATAGTAACAAAGCTAAGAGGATGCTAATTATGAACTAGTCATGACCCTCACATGATTGGGGTTTTGGAAGTCCATGGAAAAAACTATGTAAGGTACCACACTGCTGAATAGTCTATTTAATGAAATGAGGAACAGAAATTGCTACAATTATCCTATTATAATGTAACTAAGTGCTTAAGAATGTTAAATGATGCATTTTTAATGATCAGTTCAGAGTGCCCATTCACTTGTATATTTACTAGTAAAGAACAAATGCATTTAACTTAAATACATGTATTAAATTTCATCTTATAGTTGGTGATGATTCCCTCAAATATGTGAGAAATACATAATAAATGGCTACAATGAATTACATTTCAACCATAGGAATGACTCAAATAAGTTTCACTTTTACTTGAAAAGTAACAAAACCTTTTAAAAATTTGCAATTGCTCAAAAAAAAAAAAAAAATTCTTTTTTTTTTTGAGGTTTTTTGTTCTTGGTTTTTTTTTTTTTTTTTGTATTTTAAATGGCAGGTAGCTCTCTCAAACAGTTCAGAGATATTATTCTGCCTTAAATAATATCTACAGTCATAGCCAGTGCTGTGTATCATGTTGTATTCTAAGTTAACTGATCTGTAATGTCACCCATGAACTATTTACATACACCTGTGCAGACCTTGTGTTCAGGGTAACTAAAAAATATAAAACCTTGATTATAGTTGAGTTAGCTAAGATGATCTTTTTAAGCATCTCTACAATGTCGACCAACCAATTCAATCTATTATATTGGGGGGGAAATTAATCAGCCAAATGGCTGTGAATATTATCTACCACACAGCAAATAGGTGAAGATGAACTGAGTAAATAGAACTAAAGGACTCAGCACAGTGCCTAGCACATTAAAATAGCTAATAAGGCTTGATAATAAATCTTTATAGTTGCTAATGTTAATCATTCAAACAAAAGTCTTAAGTGTCCTTCAATTAATTTTGGCTCCCCATATACATGCTCTCATTTTGGATTGCAAAATCATCTAAAAACACTTCAGATCCAAGATGCTGAACTTTGAAATCTGCTTCACTAAACACAAGCTTCAATTTTTTAACCCTTCCTATTTAAAACCTACAGAAGTCCCTTTGATGATATGGTTTTTTAGCTACTCCATATTCTCGCAGACTGTCTCCCTTTACAAATCATTTACTTCCCTCCTCCCACTCACTCTCCAAGATCCTACTATGTCAGTAGAAATCTAGCTGAGCACACTAGGTTCTCTGTCCTTGACTGACTACATTCTTTTTATAAATATTAATATTATACAGATAAAGGTCTGTATAGCCAAAGCTATGGTTTTTCCAGTTGTTTTTTATGGATGTGAGAGTTGGACCATAAAGAAGGCTGAGCACTGAAGAATTGATGTTTTTGAACTGTGGTGTTGGTGAAGACTCTTGAGAGTTCCTTGGACAGCAAGGAGATCAAACCAGTCCATCCTAAAGGAAATCAGTCCTGAATATTCATTGGAAGGACTGATGATGAAGCCAAAGCTCCAATACTTTGGCCACCTGATGAGAAGAGCTGACTGATTGGAAAAGACCCTGATGTTGGGAAAGATAGAAGGCAGGAGGAGACGGGGACGACAGAGGATGAGACGGTTGGATGGCATCACTCACTCAATGGACTTGAGTTTAAGCAAACTCCGGGAGATGTTGAAGGACAGGGAAATCCGGCCTGCTTCAGTCCATGGGGTCAGAAAGAGTCATTCAGGACTGAGCGACTGAACCACAACAAGAAACTTTAGTTCCTGGGTAAACTTAACTTTCCTCATCCACTTCTGTCCCTAAAACCTCGAGAATCATTGAAATAGCAATAAGCTGAGGTCATCTGGTCAACCTAAAAGTCCATGTTATTGACTCTCTGCTTAGGCCACAAACAGCTAATGATCCTTTTATCTCTTTACTTGTTTACCTTGTCTCATCTTATATGAATCTTCCCCAAAAGTTTTGGACTCTTCTCAAAAAACTGAAGATTAAGGCAATGCATAAGATCAAAACTCTCTCAGTCATGAAGTCTAACCTCTCCCAATCTCTGTGTTAATATTGTGTTTCTCAGGGCCTCTTCCTTCTTCTTGCCTCGGTAGGAGGTGGGGAAAGATGTCTCCTCTCCTCTGAATGTGGAATAGTATTCATTCTTTTGCCTCAGTCAGCTCTTTTCTGACTATAAGCACACTTTTTCTTTTTGTTTTTTTAATCACACATTGATTGACTGAGCTTCAACAATATTGCGTATTTTACAAATGGAGGGCTTATGGCAACTCTGAGTCAAGTCTGTGCCTAGTTGCTCAGTTGTGTCTGACACTTTGTGACCCAATGGACTGTAGCCCACCAGGCTCTTCTGTCCATGGGGATTCTCCAGCAAATAACACTGGAGTAGGCTGCCGTGCCCTCCTCCAGGGGATCTTCCCAACCAGGTCAATATATTGCAGGTGGATTCTTTACTGACTGAGCCATAAGAGAAGCCCTTATTGGTATCATTTTTCCAACAGTATTTGCCTACACCATGTCTCTGTGTCTATTTTGGTAAATTCTTAGTATTTCAAACTTTTAAATCATTATAATATTTGCTACACTGATCTGTAATCAGTTATCTTTGACATTACTATTGTAGTTTGGGCACCATGAAACACGCCCTTATAAAACTGGGAACATAATCAATCAATGAAGACCTACAAGACATTCTAGAACTAACACCAAAAAAAAGATGTCCTTTTCATCATAGAGGACTGGAATGGCAAAGTAGGAAGTCAAGAAACACCTGGACTAACAGGCAAATTTGGCCTTGGAGTACAAAATGAAGCAGAGCAAAGGCTAAGAGACTTTTACCAAGAGAACGCACTGGTCATAGCAAACACNTTTCTCTTCTTCTCCTTGGGCCTCCCTATTCCCTGAGACCAACTGATATCCCTACAATGATTTCTTGTTCAACTGAAAGAAAAAATCACACATATCTCACTTCAAATAAATAACTAGAAATGAGTCAGCTTAATGAGGAAGGTGTGATAAAAGTCAAGACAGGCCTAAAGATAGGTCTCTTGTACCAAATAAATAGGTTTTGAATGAAAAGAAAAACTTCTTGAAGGAAATTAAAAGTGCCACTCCAGTAAACCATGAATAATAATGAGAAAGCAAGAGAGTCTTATCGCTGATATGGAGAAAATTTGAGTGGTCTGCATAAAAAATCAAATCAGCTACATTTCCTTAATCAAAACTTAATCTAGAGCAAGGCCCTAACTCTCTTCACTTTTATCAAGCCAGAAAGAAGAAAGGCTTGAAGCTGGAAGAGTTTGCTTTATAAAGTTTAAGGAAAGGAGCTGTCTCTATAACATAAAAATCAAAGGGAAGAAGCAAGTGCTGATGTAGAAGCTGCAAATTATGTGGAACTCTGAGATAATTAAGGAAGGCCACTACACT